TTCAGTTTCATTCATTCTTGGCCAATTCTGACTGATCAACTGTTAGTGAGAGGTCTATGAGCAGGATTAGTTTATTTATCTCTATTGTAACTAGTAATCAATCTTTGGATTATTTTCCATTTGTAGTGGATTATTATTTTTATTCTCTCCCTGAATCTCTTCTTAGTACCTGGTAAATAACTGGATTGCTCCTTAGAGATCTTACATGGACCTGAAGAGTCAAATGGCCTCCTTCTGTGTTGTTATGACTGTTATGACGATTGCATTGCTCTGGATCTTAATGCAAGAATGTCACCTCAAATGTAGGATTTTTCAGCACAATAAGTTTACTGTGACTGCCAAATTTTGGCAATGACTATAAATTGCATATATATCTTTTACTTTTTGTGCATCAGCAATCAACAATCCAATTTCCCACTTACACTTGCTTAGGAGTCTGCTGTGCATTTCCAATGATTTGTTTTATTTAAAATTTTCAGCAAAGTAAGATCATCATCTTTGCTTCAAAGGCGCAGAATGAAAACTAAACCTTTTAAAAAATAAATTTGAAAAGGCTTAAAACATATGTTTATCAGGTTATATTTGTATTTGATATTATTTCACTCCATGTCACCAGTGTCCTTCATCCCTTTTCTGGTTCTAACAGAACACAGCCACAATTGATGAGTGAAATATGTAAACAAAATTCTTCCAGTGTTTGTCTCAATTCTGTTTTGCTGGATAATATTTGAATAGCTTTTCTTTACTTACACTGCTGACTTGGATCGGAATCTGTGGTTATCTTGACATAATTGGAAGGAAATAAGCCATTTATTCCATTCATCTCCCCTTGCCACCAATCGGAATCATCTCTGTTCAGCACATTAATGAACTGCCCTTTAGAGAAACTGAGCTCATCTTCATTCACAGCAGTATAGTCGTATATAGCTATGACCTGACAGACTGTGGAGAAGAAGAAGAAGAAAAGTTTGAACTCAATTAAGCTTGGCAGGGATGGTAATTTTGTATCTGTGTAAATGCTGTGTATCCACAAAGGAAAAGCAAACAAAAAGCTAAACTACAATGGACTACCAAAACTTAAAATTTACAAACATAGATAAGACGGGTTTTCAAATAATTATAAGACAATGCAAAAAGAAAAACTGCAATCTGATGCACAAATTTTAACATTTATATGTTCAATATTTTTAGCAGTCCTTCAACATAACCTGTAGACAGTTAAAGTGGCCAAACCTACTGCTAGGAAAAGAACCTCGCATTCCCTTCCTTACGGTATATCAAGCAAAAAACACCAATGAGGAATGGATAGTACAATGATCTTGTTACTGGAACAGTAATCTAGTTATGGTCTCTTTCTGGGCCATAATGTCTAAATGTAGTGGGACTGGAGAAACTGGAATGTTCTCTTTATAGCAAAGGACATTAAAAGGTGATTCAATATTAATTCAAAATCACGAAAGGTGTTTATAAATAAGGAACAACCATTTCCAGTAGCAGAACTTTTGATATCTGAAAGGACAAAAATGGAAACTGGAGGGGGAAAAACATAAATGCGATCTGGGATGCACAATAGTGGAAGATGGTTCTATGATAAATTTCAAAAAGCTATTGGACAAATACTCAAGGGGAAAACTGGAAGAGGTCTGAGGGAAGACAGGTTAGTTAGGTCAACTGAATCACTCTTTTGTTGATCGGCAAAGGTATGCTGGGGAAAATTTACCCCTTTCTGTATGGTATTGTCCCATGATTATAACTGTGACAACAAGGCAAAGTACTTAATTATATTAAAGCACCATGGAACACCTTGTAAAAAGTTCTGTACAAATACAAATTCTTCCTTCCTCTACATTAGAAACTCATCAAGTTCATAAATAAATAACACTTCGACAGATCTGAAGTTGGCTCACTGAAGTAATTACTTTTCAAATCTAGAACTTTATGCTATTAAGAAAACCAAAATCACAGATTAAGCCATTAAAAAAGTAATTCTGCAGACCTGGAGTTGGAGCAGGAGTGGATTTGCCACTACTTTGCCCCAGGAGTTTGACATGACTGGCAGGAAACCATCCTTTTTGACGCTTTTTACCTCTGGCCTACAATGGAAACAGAGCAGAGAAAAGAAAATTAAACAAAGTAATAGAACGAAAAACATTTCTCAATATGTTGTGTCACAGGTAGCATAATGCCATTCAATTTCATCCTTATGTTGTTGGAGATCCTTTCCTTTCAATTAGATGATGCTCCTTTAAACAGCATTAGATTGTCAAGTCAAAATACAAGTGTGAAGCTTCCTTGGTAGTGAAGGTTACGGTCTTCCAGTACAAGGACACATTCTAGACTCAATTACCAACTGAGACTCTGTTCATGACATTACAAAAGTGGTGCTTAAAATTGAACATGCACAAGAAAAAATATTTTTTAAAAATCTGTCCAATTCAGAAAGAGATCACTTCAAAGGAATGTAGCAATATTATCAACCATTACGAAACAACTGTACTCTTCCTTGGATTCACTTGAGATGTGCCCGATTCTGACCGGATTCTTTTCCTGCAAGTATTCCTACCCATTACCCATTTGACTTTCTTTCTACAAAGTCAGGAATAGTTCACTTATAGTTGGACAAGACACGTTAGAAGAAAACAATCATATTTATTTGTTCATTTTCCATTTTTTTCTTTGTCACAGGAACACAGTGATCTTTCAATAATGGCAATTGATATTTTTGTCCTTACCTATGCTAACTGAAGCAATACTAATATAATTAAAGCACTTACCTGCAACTCACCCTGCCACCATCCAGTAGCATTTTTCTTCAGAATAAGTATCAACTGGCCTGGGACGAGGCTGAGCTGCTCTGTACCTGTTGCAGTGTACGCTGAGGCAACCTGGGCAATCTCTGAGACAATATTAAGCCAGTTAAAATGCAAGCCTTCAAGAGAATAATATAGTTAATCCAGCTATTTTAAAATCTTTTGGCATTACATGTCTTTCCATCCTCGGTAAAAAAAATTAAGTGCAGTAAAATATAAATTAAACGCACAAGTATAAACAGCAACAAAATCATAGCACAGCTAGCTGAGATACTCTCACATTATACCCTGCCTTTGCAGAAGATTTGATGGAGAGTAACTTACAAAAAGAAACTCCAGGGTTTCCTTGCTTTTAAAAAAATCCGTTTTTATTAAGTTGTAACTTTTAAATTCCCAAATTATATGTGAGGACATCAAGTAACAAGGATCTAATGTTTACAATAATTCATTCAGTAATATAGAACTTGAATACTGCTGAGAAAAGACCTATTTTGTTGAAACATATCATCTTGTACTCATTGGATAATTTGCAAGAGAACCAATTTAAAGGGAAATTAACATTTATGCTATAAAACAAACTGCCGATTGGTTGGTAAGTGGATTCTGATTGGTGGAATCATTGTCATGGACAGTGCAACAACTAATGTTGATTGACAGTTAACTGCCAGGATTTGTTTGAGTTTTAAACCAGCCATGTACACTGATTAGTCATGGCATTGCCCTGAGAAATAAACCAGTCTGGCGGTCACCTAATTTGATTAGGTGAAACAGACACAGCGCATGTACATGTTCTTTCAGTCCACAAAGATAGCAACTGTGGATTAATATACATAGCTTCCAATACATGCAAGTGGATCACAGGACAAGCCAGATTGACAATCTAGATTGATTGTCATTGAAATTCTTCATACATGTAAGATTATTCAGCAAATGTAGTTCAATTTCAGAATCACATCTAACATTGGACATGGCTCTGTACTTTTTCTTTGCAAATGTGGGCTGATTGTATATGGGTCAGTATCTTGTTTGTTGTGAATAGCTGAAGGGATATGTGAATCATCCTAATGAATACAAGATCAAAAGCTTCAACAAAATGTATCTCTGTTTCAGCAGAGAATGTTAGTAATATCATTTCTTTTCCATTTTCTTAAATATCAGCACGATTTCTATAATGAGTACAGCACATATGTACCTGGCTTTTTGTTGAATGTTCCTGATCTTCCAGAACTACTTGATCCCTGCCAAAGAAACAGCACTTGTAATTACAACACAATTTTCTTTTCCTGTTGTTTTCAAGGGTATTGAAGGCAGCCTTAACCAGCAGATTTCTCCCGCATTCACTCCTGGAATCAAGCTCTTATCAGCATTCGGTGATAGCACTCTCCTTAAAACCCACTAATCAAGGCTAAGTTTATTAATGACATAGCTATTTTTGAGAAACCAGAGCATTCCAAAATAAGTGCCAACATCGTAAAAAAAAAATGGGGTGGCACGGTGGCTCAGTGGCTCAGTGGTTAGCACTGCTGCCTCACAGTGCCAGGGACCTGGGTTCGATTCCACCTTCGGGTGATTGTCTGTGTGGAGTTTGCACATTTTCCCCCGTGTCAGCGTGGGTTTCCTCCGGGTGCTCCGGTTTCCTCCCACAGTCAAAGATGTGCAGGCTAGGTGGCTTGGCCATGCTAAATTGCCCATAGTGTTCAGGGATGTGTAGATCAGGGGGGTTATGTGGGGTGGGTCTGGTTGGGATGCTGCGAGGGTCGGTGTGGACTTGTTGGGCTGAAGGGCCTGTTTCCACACTGTAGGGATTCTATGATCTGTAGATATTCATAGAGATGTACAGCATGGAAACAGATCCTTCAGCCCAACTCATCCATGCCAACCAGATATCCTAAATTCATCTCGTCCCATTTCCCAGCATTTGGCTCATATTCCTCTAACCCTTTCCTCTTCACATACCCATCCAGATGCCTTTTAAATTTTGTTATCGTACCAGTCTCTAGCAATTTGTTCCATACACACATTACCCTCTGCATGGAAAAGTTGCCCCTTAGGTCCTTTTTAAATCTTTCCCCTTTCACCTTAAACCTGTGCCCTCTAGTTTCGGGCTCCCATACCCTGAGAAAAAGACCTTGACTATTCACCCTATCCAAGCTCCTCATGATTTTATGAACTTCTATAAGGTCACCCCGCAGCCTTCGAAGCTCCAGGGAAAATATCGCCAGTGTATTCAGCCTCTCCCTATAGCTCAAATCCTCCAACCCTGGCAACATCCTTGTAAATCTTTTCTGAACCCTTTCAAGTTTCACAACATCTTTCCTATAGGAGGGAGACCAGAATTGAATAAGACAATACCAGGAGTGATATTGGTGATGGAAGAGATTTTCTCATCTATCCTAACCTCTTAGCCACAAGTGCCTGAAAGGAATTTGGTAATGGTGCAAGTCAAATTAAAAATGGTTTATTTTCCGCACAAAAGATGACCTGTAAAGAGTGCATTGAAGAATTAAGGTAATAGAGCATACGACAACTTTTGTTCATCAGACTCATCCAATGTATTTTTCAACTATACAAAATAACAAAGCTCCTTTAACAAACATACTGCACTTTAGTGAAAAATTGCACATAATGAGAAATGAAGAAATAAAAAAACAAGTGGCAAACTTACATCTGGATCCTTTGGTTTGACATAATTTGATGGAAAGACACCTGTTCTATCTTCAATAACTCCGGTCCACCATTCACCTTCCTTTTTGGTTACCAAAACAATCTCACCCTCCATGAAGGTTAAGTCTCCAGCTTCAGCACTTTCGTAAGGGTATAGTGCAATATACTCTATCAAAAAAGTACAAGAGTATGAATAACCTAAATGGATGCCATATATGTGTGATTGCTTTGAACTTAAAAAAAAAAGAAATGCATTGACATATTCTTTTAAAATAGCTAAACTGACAGATTTATGCCATCCAAAGCAGTGAAACTCTTTGCTCTGTTTGGTCATCAACAGAGAAACAATTTTTCATTCCTTCCTCCTCTTCATACAAAGAATCTGCACTTCGCTTTAAGAACAAAGTAGTAACCTGTTCCAGGCTTTCACATTCAGCAACTGCCAGGACATTGAGCTTGCCTCTTTCTTCCAACCTCCTCTTTGACTGTGCCTCTGTCCTTTAGGAGCATTCAGCAAAAGTAATAGCTACAACTTTACTGTCTTTGAAAATGTAATGATGCCAGGAACAAACGCGGGTCATGGTGTGGAACCAGTGAGATCTCTTTCAGATTCTAACAATTCAGGATACCACCTGTGTTAGGAAGTCACTTCCCTTATTGATTTTATTGGAATCTGTGGCTTCCATGAGCTGTGATTATGATGATATTGTTGGGAATTCAGTTGGGCTACAGCCTGCTAGAAGAAAGAAGCTACCCAGCTTTGCCTCTGCCTTTTTGAGAAACCTTTATAAGATCAGGGTGAAAACTGAAATCCTGATATTGTTGTTCTTTGGAAAAAAGTGTCTGAAAAAGCACTTCTCAATATTTCCTGAGTGAATGGTGTCTGCGAAGGTACCAAGGATATCTGCCTGTGATTGGTGACATCTGTCTTCATGTGCCAGGACATTGACCAAATGTCACCTTAAAGATTTCATATTTTATCCATTTTCTTTAAGAATTAAACTTAGTGACAAAACAAAAGCAGAAATTGCTGGAGAAACTCAGCAGGTCGGGCAACATCTGTGGAGACAAGACAGACTTAATATTTCAGATCCAGTGACCCTTCTTCAAAACTGGACCTGAAACGTTGATTCTGCCTTCTCTTCACAGATGCCGGCAGACCTGCTGAGTTTCTCCAGCAACTTCTGTTTTTGTTTCAGATTTCCAGCAACCACTGTTCTTTATTTTATTGGGAAATTTCCCAAAGTCAATCTCTGTTGAGAAAAATCATAATTTTTTAATCTATTTGGTGCATGTGTGTATTGGGTTATTTACAGGGATAAGTATTTATACTTTTATATTTCAAAATGTGTGTATTAACTAGCTTTACATCCCTATTGAATAATTCTTACCTTTGCATTGTTTTTAATTTGTTCACGAGCTGGAGGTGTCAGTGGCCAGTATTTACTGCCCACCCTAATTGCCCAGAGGGCAGTTAGGAGTTAACCACTTTGCTGTGGGTTTGGAGTCATGTGTAGAGGATATAGATTTTCTTGCCCACAGGACATTAGCAAGCCATTTGGGTTTTCAAAACAACCGACAGTGGTTATATTATTGCCATTAGGCCAGCTTTTCATTCTAGATTTTTGTTGAACTCAGTTGTCACCATCTATCATGGTGAGCTTTGAATTCATGTCCCCAGAGTATTAACCTGGGGCCCTGGACTACGACTCTACATACAATCAAGCCACCGCCTCCCCAACAAATTTTTTGTTTAATAAAGAAAACTGATTGATTTTTGTTTTGTTTTTCTCTTTGTTCTGAACCTAACATAGAGAAAGTATTCAACTGGTCACATTGTGATATGTTGTGACTAATAGAGTTGTGGGACTAGAGAAAGTTAATGAACTCATCCAACTTTTGTCATAACACCTGTCAATTGACAATAGCTAACACTCATTTTTTCTGGTTACTAACGAACAGAATACCGTAGATCTGGTTTAAAATTCAAAAAAACCTGCATCCAATGACATTGACCTATAATCGATAAAAACCCAATTATTTTATGGAGAAAACAAATAACTCTAGAAAAAATAAACTGGTTTGGAAGTAACATTGGCAAAACTAATGTTATCCTCAAGTACCTGTATACTACTGAAAAATGTATTTTGTTGGCAGTTACATTTAATTCATACTGATGCACAGAAAGTTTTAAGTTAATTGGGAATTATATGAAAAAAAAGCTGTAAGAGGAATTTTACCTTCTACTGGCTGGGAAATTGGGCTGGAGCTCTTGTTGACCTTAGCATAAACAGGTTCTGGTCTGTTAACAAAAGTTATAGACAGTTCAGCAATGTAAATAATTCAGTACAAAACCAGAAAGTGAGACAAATTCAGCAGGTCAGGCAGCATCTATGGTGACAGGAATGGAGTTAGCACGTCAGATAAAGAGCCTTTCATGAACCCTAGTTCTTAAAATGAAACGTTCACTCTTTTGCTCTCCAGATGCTGTCTGGATTGCTAAGTTATCCAGCATTTTACACTTTTGTTTCAGACTTCCGTAATCCGCTATATTCTGCTTAAATAATCAAGTACGTGGCATGAAAGAAAACATGACACTTTTTTTTAAACAACTAACAACTGACAAACTGCTTTTCTTACAAAAGAATTTAAAAATGGCAGTTCAGAAATAATGGCCAGAATTTTTACAAGTCTCCTGTTAACAAGCTGGCAGGTGTAAAATGGATGGCATTAATATTTTCAATTTACTCCTTAACAGATGTGGGCATTGTTGTCTGGACCAGCAATTATTGTCTATTAGTAACAGCTCTTGAGAACACGGTGGTCAGCCCGGTTCTTCAACCACTGCAGTCCATGTGCTGTAGGTACAACTATAGTGCTGTTCTGGAAAGGAGTTCTGCGATGTTGATCAATAATACTGAAGAAATTATTATATAGTTCCAAGTCAGGTTGGAATGTGGTTAGAGGGGAATTTGGAAATGGCATTGATACAAAACATTTATTACCTTTGCCTTTCTATGTGGTAGAGGTCATGAGTTTTGAAGGTGCTTTCAAAGGAACATTGGTGAGATGCCATAGTGCACTTTGTAGATGGTAAACACTGCTGTCATGTGTGTTGATGTTAGAGTGTGAGAATGTTAAAGACTAGACTCCGTGCCAATCAAATGGGCTGCTTTGTCCTGCATGATGTCCAGCTTTCTAAGTGTTCTTTGCCCAAACAAATGGAGAGTATTCCATCACATTTCTAGCCTGTGCCCTGTACATGATAACAGACTTTGGGGAGTCAAGGGGTGAGTTACTTCTACAGAGTATTCAGACTTGTAACTGGAATGATTATGTGGTTGATCTACTTAAATTTCTGGTCAATGGCAACCTTCAGGATATTAAAAGTGGAGTATTCACACTGATTATGTCATTAAAGGGGATCTTGTGGTGCAGTAGAGAGCAACCTTTCTCTGAGCCAGAGTTTCGAGGATTCAAATTTAACCTTAGGATATGAAGGCCAAGGAAGTTGTGTTCATAACACTGCCAAACATGTTAAACATCAACCGGTAAGATCCTTCTAACACATACTATTTGGCATCTTGGAAGAGATTTCTGATGTCCATGTGATAGAAAGAACATTAAAGCCTCAACCATCACTACCTACATCTTCAAACAACAACATATACTCCACGACTGTTACTGAATCTTGAGAAATGATTGTTAGATTCTCTTCTGTGTGGTGTGGTTATTGTTGGAAGAAGGGACAGAAGGTATGGTCACCAAATTGCTGATGGCACAAAGATAGGAAGGTAAGTTGTGAAGAGAACATAAGACTGCAAAGAGATAAAAAAAATTAGCAAATGGAGTATAATTTGGGAAAATGTGATGTTGTGCGCATTGACAAGGTAAATAGAAAAACAGAATATTTTTAAAAGAAGAGAAACTGCAGAATTCTACAGTGTGAAGGGATCTGTGTGGCTTTGTAAATGATTAACATGCGGGCACAGCTAGTAATTAGGTAGGCAATTAAAATGTTCATCTTTATTTCAAGTGGGGGGTGGAGTATAAAAGTAGGCAAGATTTCTATTTCAAGGCATTGATCCCCTTACTTTAAGAGATATGTACATCGATTGCAAGCCTTTCAGAGAAGTTTACTAGGCTGATTCCTGAGATTAACTAATTGTTTTATGAGGAAAGGTTAAGCAGGTTGGGCCTATAACCATTGGAGTTTAGAAAAATTAGTGGTGAACTTATCAAAATTTTTAAGACTCTGAAGGGGCTTGGTAAATGCTAGTTCCCTTCTTAAGGGAATCTAAGGTGAATAGGCACAGTTTTAAAAGAAAGGTCCATTAAGGTGGAAATGGGAGAAATTTATATTTTCCAAAGGGTTGTTCATCTTTGAAATTCTCTTTCCAAGAAAACACTGGAGGCTGGGTCATTGAATATATTCGGGCCTCATTGAGACAGATTTTTGATGAACAAAGGAGTCAAGGGTTATAGGGTGGGCAGGAATAATTAGTGGTAGTGCCACAATCAGATCTCTCACAATCTTACTGAATTATGAAGTGCTGGGCCGAATACTCTTACGCCCATTTCTTACGATCTTATCTTGGTTAGAGGGTGGGGAATAATTGGACCAAAGCACACTTCAGCCCCATTTCAATATATAAATTATTTTGTTAATTTTGTATTTAATCTTGCTTCCACATATAAAATAGAAGCTATTTATATAAAAAAGTCAATACAGGAGTGGGCCATCTTGGAATACCCTATAACGGCAGCCTGACAAGTTTTGCATTGATAGTTTAAATAGAGACATTCAATATCAAGTTTAATAAAGTTATCTAGAAGAATCATAGAATCCCTACAATGGAGATAGAGGTCATTCAGCTCATTGGGTCTGCACTGACCCTCCGAACAGCATCCGAACCAGATCTGCCCAGCACACCCTATCCTCATAACCTCACATTTACCATGGCTAATCCACCAATCTGCACATCCCTGGACATTACAGGGCAATTCAGCATGATCAATCCACCTAATCTACACATGTTTGGACTGTGGGAGGAAACCATAGCACCCAGCAGAAATCCACACAGACGCGGGGAAAACGTGCAAACTCCACACAGACAGTCACCCTAGGTTAGAATTGAACAGGTCCCTGGTACTGCGAGGCAGCAATGTTAACCACTGTGCCACCACGCCGCCCTAATCTGGAAGCAAACGTAATCATTCCTTATTAAATATGATGTGTAATTTACAGTACCAACTGCTTGATTTCACTGACATGCCAGAACTATGCATCAAACAGAAAAAAATCTTACTCCGCTGATGGCTGCGCATGATCAGCGATAATCTTGACATACGACCTGGGGAACCAGCCCTTTCCACCACGAACTTCTCCAAACCACCAGTTATCCTGTTGCTCCAGAACATCAATTACATCGTCTTTTGAGAAATTCAAATGGTTCTCTTTTTTTGCTGTCCACGAACAAAGTGCCAGTGCCTTAAAAGTTTTTACATTTTCAACCTAAAGAAGATTATTTTTTGACAATTACTTTGGACTCTATTCAGAATTTAAAAATTAAATACACAATAAAAATACAGTAAAAAGAACACTAGACTTTAAATAAAACAAGGGAAATAGATGGTGATTACTGATCAACTGTAGTTTCACGGACAGTAGTACACACAAGTGAGCTCAGCTAGAAGGAATGTGAGATTAGCTGCTCAGCAGACAGGTGAGAAAAGGGTGGGCCAGCTATAGCTGCTGCTCCTACATCAGGAACAACAGCTGTCACAGAGAGCTCATCAGAGGATGCAAAGAGAGGCACAAAGGTAGCTGTATGTGAATTTAAATGGTATTTGAGCTAGGTAAGAGTAAAGGAGCAGAGCAGTTGTTGGAGTAGGGATTAGGAGATTAAAGTATTGGCAAAGATCTGTAGCTTGGGTTGTGGGTGAGGTTGATGACTTGCTCGCTGAGGTGGCTTGTTTTTGTCCAGACGTTTCGTCACCATGCTAGGTGACATCATCAGTGGAGCCGCTGATGAAGTGATGGACCCGACAGTATAAATTCCAAGCAGAGTAGAATAATATCACTTCATCAGAGGCTCCACTGATGAGGTCACCTAGCATGGTGACGAAACGTCTGAACAAAAACAAGCCAGCTCGGCAAGCAAGTCAACAACCTCAGGAATTAGGAGAAGCAAGACCAGGAAATACTTAAGAACGATTACTCATCCAATGAAAGCAGATCAGAGAAGATTACTGAGTTCTGAGGAAGGGTCACCAGATGTGAAACGTTAACTCTGATTTCTCTCCACAGATGCTGCCAGACCTGCTCAGCTTTTCCAGCAATTTCTGTTTTGGTTTTCTGATTTACAGTATCCACAGTTCTTTCAGTTTTTCTTAGAGAAGATTGCTAGGCAGATTCCAGAGATGAACTGATTGTCTTGTGGGCATAGGTCAAACAAGTTGGGAAGATATCCATTGGATCTCAAATCCATTCTTACTTCTGTAACATTCTCTATTTCTGCAAGCCTTACACAAACACTTGACCTCTTCCCATTCTGGCATCTTGTGTATCTCCCAATTTCTTTCCCTTATCAATGATGGTCATGCCTCGAGTCACAAAGGCCCAAAGGTTCCGGACTTCCTCCTTAAACCTTCCTGCTTCTCTCTTCCCCTTAAGAATCATCTCTAACTTGATCTCTTGAACCATATTTTCAGTAATCCATTCTAATATCTCATTCTTTGGCTTATTGTTGATTATGTTCCATGATACTTCTATTCAGCATCTTGAGACATTTTTCAAAATTAAAGGTACCATATGATTCAAGTTGCTGTTGTTGAAAGGGTTACTGCTCTCCATGTAACACCTTGGGATTGTACCATCTTGTTACACTTCAAATGTGTTGCTAACACTTGCATAAGATCCTTTCACAGCATTAATAGAGAAGGCAAACAAAAAGCTTGTGCATATTTTAAATTTGCATGAATAATGAAGTAAACAAATCATTTGTTTTCATAAAATAGAAATAAGGTATTAGAGAGATGTACCTGATCATAAACTGGTGATCCAGAACCAGGGGCAAGAGTTGGAGTAAAAGCAGATTTCTGCCAAATGGGACTGCCACTAATCCCGGAGAAACCGCGACTTGATTGAAAACTCCCATCATCACTCACTTTATTTTGAGCATGTGGTCTATTGGAAAGGAAACATGCAGATTTTCACTACTTTAGACCACTGTTAAGAAAATATAGAACATTTAACAATAATCCAAATGGCTTAAGAAGTATCAAGATACATAACCGAGCTACTAGTCCACTTCAGAATTAGGAACACAGTCAGTGTGAGGGAAACTACACTAGAATGAGGCAGTGGCTGCTTGAGCATATCTAAATATGTGGTTCAACGTGGGAAATCAGAGCATAGAGGGAAGTGTTTGAAGTAAGGTTTTCAGTAGGAAGCAAATTGTGCTGAGGGGGGGATGAGTGAAGGGTAGAGAAGACGTGATTCTCAATTTGCATCTGCTTTTCAATTTTGTGCAGAATAAGCAGGAAGGTTAGTAACTGGTATTGTTAAAAACTGGGAGTTTTACCAGTATTGTAAGTATTGCATTATTTGATCCATGTTGTAAAGTTTTATGGCAGTAATAAAACATTTTGGAAAATGTAGAAATTGGCATAGGATGAATAAGATTAGAGAAGTGAATGTGTGACTCAAAGGCTTGTGTGGGAGATGTGGATTCCAGTTTATGAGGCACTAGCAGCAATACCAAGGAAAATGGGATCTCTACTGTTGTTACAGGCCACATCTACCTAGGGAAGTAGAAAGGAATTTAAACTAAACTGATTTGGTTGAGGGGGGGAGTGGTGGTTGGTGGTGGCAGGGTGGGGAGGTGTTGGGTTGGGGCTGGCGTGTTGAGGGACAAACCTTACGTAAATTTAACAATTCAAGGGATGGAAGTTAGAGCAGGACAACAAAATACTAATATGGAAACAAAAAGGTATGAAGTTCAGAAAGGACAGGAAAAAAAAAACACAAAGAAAATGCCAACAGTCAAAACTAGATGTTACAAAGATAGCAAAAATAACTAAAGGCTCTGTATCTGAATGTGGGTAGTATTCACAACAAAGTTAATGAATTGATAGCATCCATTAAAGTAAATGAGTATAATCTGATAGCCATTACGGGGAGGTGTGGCTGCGAGATGACAGGGATTCAGCTCTGAATACATGATATTGAAGAAGAATAGAAAGTTAGTGGAAGGGTAGTACTCCGTATCTAAAATGTATCAGTGCAATAGTTAGAAATAGCTTTGGCTCAGGAGAATATGTTCTAGAATCTGTTTGCGTAGAGATGAGGAAGAGAAGAGGAAAACGTCACTTGTGGGAGAAATGCACAGGCCTCTGAACAGTAACTATTGTAAGACAAATCATTCAAGAAGAAATGTAGGTGCTTTCAATACGGCAATGTCAATAAGTATGGGTGATTTTAATCTAAATGTTAAATGGAAATATCAGACTAGTAAAAGTAGTCTCCATGGGGAGTTTGTATAATGCCTTTTAGATTGTTTTGGCAAACAGCATGTTCTGGAATCAACCAGAGACTTGGCATTGCATAATATGACAGGATAAATTAAGACCCTCAGAAGAAGGAAACATTCAGGTAGCAGTGGTCATAATATGACTGAATTTTACATCTAGTTTAAAGGGGAGAAGAATGGATCTAGACTAGTTTTTCTGAACTTAACAGGGGAAAATACATGGATGTGAAAGCTGAGCTAGGGTTAAGTGAACTGGGTTATTAAGCCAGCCTATAGATCAAAGAGATATACGTGTAAAGGGATACCTCATAATACTGAGAATAAGCACATTCCAATGATAAAGATAAATTCCAAGGATAGGACCCACCAGCTCTGTAACTGAAGAATTTAAGCAGACATCAAACTTAGGAAAATGCATTTGCAATTGCATAAAGGTGCATGGCAGGTCAGAATACAAAGAAAAGCAAATAATGCCTAAAAGATCAAGGATTAATACATCAGAGCATGAGGGGAACCTAGCTAGAAATGTAAAACATACAGAAAGACTTTCTATTGGTATCTAAAATGTAAAAAAATTCAAATAAGTCAGTCCTCTACAAGGTGAGAATGTAGGATTAATGCTTGGTGTGATGTTCCTTTGGCTTTACGAGATGTATTTTGTGCTTGTTTTTTTTAAACTGAAGAGAGATTGATCCAAGTGGTCTATTCAAAGCCAATAAGGTAAACAGCTTGTCAGCCATTGAGGTTTTTCTTTTGAAGTTGGAACAACAGAAGCAGCCTGAATAGGTGGGGTCAAGCTCCCACAGAACCAGGATTTTTAGTTTTAGCTTTCAGCAGTTGCTGGAGTCTTGAAGCTGGATGTGGAAGCTGTTTTTCCTCTCTATTAGTGCTAAAAGCTGGGGTTCTCTTCCTGCTGCTAGAATTACATGTGAGACAATCTATTTTACCGACTCTGATGAAGAATCATCTCGACTTGAAATGTCAGCTTGCTCTGTCTCCATAGTTGCTGCCTGACCGGGTGGGTTTCTAGCCTTTTTGGTTTTCAGTACAGATTCCAGCATCTGCAGTAATTTGCTCCTATTTTACTGACTATGCCTTTGCCAAGTTGTGTGCTTATGGCATGTTACTTTATTGGAACAGTTAATGAGTAGTTTATTATTTTGTTAAGTATTTCAATAGTTACAATTAAACCAATTATTTCCTTTTGTTTTTATTTTGTCTGTATTTTAACTATAGTGTACGAATAAAGTGTGTTTTACTTCAAGCCTGTTAGTTTGACCAATCGAATTGCATTTACAACACAACACCAGGCGCTTGCCTCTGAGATAAGAAAATGTTAGGGTCTAGACTATTTCCTTGACGTGTTTTGAGGGAGTTTGATCTGGTCCATAACATTGGTGTTTAAAAAAGGGCAGATGTAATGAATAAATATTTTGCTTCTGTCTTCGCTACAGAGAATACAAAAAAAAATCCTAGTGATACCTGTAAAATATGAAGGAGAGGGAACAGAGGAACTTGGTGAAATTTGTCATGAAAGAAGTGGTACTGAGCAAACTGGTAGATCTGTGGGTTGATGAGTCTTGACGGACTTCAGATAGATTCAGGCTTTAAAAGAAGTGGCTAATGAGGTAGTAAATCCATTTTGTGTTAATCTTCCAAATTTGTTCAAATCTGGAAAGATATAATGGTACAGAAAATAGTAAACATAACCTCTCTACTCAAGGAGGGAGGGACGCAGAAAACAGAAAAGAATAGGCCAGTTAGCTTGAAGTCTGTGATAGGCAAGCTATGAAAGGTGATCATGAAGGAGGTTACAAGGTAATGGGAAGAGTCAGAATGGCTTGTGAAAGGGAAAACCTGTTCAGCCAATTTATTGGAACTCTTTGAAGAAGTAACATGTGCTATGGATAAAGGACAGTGCCTAGTGATATACTATATTTGGATTTCAAGAAGGCATTTGACAAGTTTCTACATGAAAGTTTATTGTATAAAGTCGCAGTGCATAATACAGGATGGGGAGGGGTGGTAATATACGAGCATGGAGAGGGGATTAGCTGGTTGGTAGAAACAAAAGAAGAAATGGGTATGTTTTACATTGGTAACATGTGACCAGTGAGGTCAATTATAATTGACAAGAAGTGCTGTAAAGCAACGCATTGAATTGATCCAATGTTTCTTGCCTCCTTTTTCCCTAGCTTTCCTAAGCATGTAATTCAACAATTTTCCCTGGCTGAGGAATCTAGAACGAGGCATCACAGTCTGTGGATAAGGGATCAGTCACTTAGGATGGAGAGGAGGAGCAATTTCTTCACTCAACATGCTTTAAATTTCTGGAATTTTCTTCTTCTTGGATATTTCCATGGGACCTTTCTACACAAGTGGAGGAGATGCAGCACTGTATCCCTTCTCTCCTGACAATCTAAGGCTTCAAACATTCCACCCAGTTGAAGCAATGATTTACATGTTCTTCTTTCAATAATGTAGTTGCTGCTCCCATTGTGATTTGCTCTCCCCTGACAAGGTTAAATGCAGACAGAGTGACCCCTTGTGGAACAGCATCATTTCATCCAGAAGCATGACCTCAATCCGAGTCTTAAATGACCTGCCCCTTTTCTTGAGATCATGTTCCCTGGTTTTAGGGTCACCAGCCAGAGGAAACATCCCATCTATCACCATACACCTTTGCAAGAATTTTATAAGTTTCAATCAGATCATTTATCATTCTTTGAAATGTTAGAGAACACAGATCCAGTTTTGTCAATCCTCTGGAGAATTTCCCTCTATGACTTACAAAATCATACCGCCCCCGATCCTAACAGGTCAATTTGAGCTGCTCCGAAACATCTATAAACAAGATCATGGTAGACCTACTGCTTCAGCCTGTTCCTTCTATCTCAACTACATTTTCCTCTCTTTAATGAGTCTCTTCTCACCAACTTAAGAATTTTCCAAAGCTCTTACAGTATGAACAGTTTCCACTCTCGCAACTTCACTAACTCAACCTCAGACTCTTGGCTTCCCAATTACTTGGCTCCACTTCTGAAGATAAGCAATCAACTTATCTTCACTGTAAGTTACTATCACTCTGTGCATCTTGCTTCCTGAAACTAACTATTCCATTCTATCAGTCTGTCTGTCTTCATCACATCTCCAGGTCATCCTCTGCAACTTTAGTACTTTTAGCTGGATGCCACCATTAAACACATCCACCCTTCCCCTTTAATATTCCAGACCACTCTCTCTGTAACACCCAATTCGTTCCTTAATCATTCCCCAATATCTTCTTGGATATTTCCATGGGACCTTTCTACACAAGTGGAGGAGATGCAGCACTGTATCCCTTCTCTCCTGACAATCTAAGGCTTCAAACATTCCACCCAGTTGATGCAATGATTTACATGTTCTTCTTTCAATAATGTAGTTGCTGCTCCCATTGTGATTTGCTCTCCCCTGACAAGGTTAAATGCAGACAGAGCGTCCCCCCAGTGGAACACCATCATTTCGTCCAGAAGCATGACCTCAAACTTCCAATTGTCTGTCATTTTAAGTCTGCATATTTTTCCCCCCTCACTGAACCCTCAGTCCTCAGTTTCCTGAAATGTCCAATGAAGTTCAATGTCAGCATTTCAGTCTTAAATTAGGCATCATCCTAAAGCCTTCTAGACTCAACACTGACTTCAATCTCTGATCTCTGCTTTTTGAGGCTTCAGCTTTACTTTCATTTTCTCCTTATAGTTTGCATTCAGACATCAGCTATTCAGAATTTTGCATTCTTACATTCTCTAGGCACATGTATTTTACTATCTGTTCCATTATTATGCGCTTTGGACTGTACAACCAACTCTTTCAGCATTTAATCTCTCCAGCCTTCCGGCTAATCACAAAACCCCTTTTTATTCTTTTTACAACCTCTCCCCTTCCACTTGATTAAAAATCTTGGCATTTCTAACTTGACAAGTCCTGATGAAAGGTCAAGCATCTGAACTGTAAACCCTTTCTCCCGCTGATCCTGCATACAGCATTTTTGGTATTTATTTCAGATCTCCAATTTTGAAACAGAGTTTACTCTTTGTTCAAAAGTAAAGTATTATAGATGTAGAAGATCTGAAATAAAAACAATAAGTGCTGGAGAAACTCAACTGGTCTGGTAGCATCTGTGGAGAGAGCAAGAGTTAATGCTTCAAGTCCAATAGGACTATTCTTCAGAACACTTATTCTGATTCCAATTATGGGACTCAAAATATTAACATTAATTCTCTCTTCACAGATTCTGCCAGGTCTGCTGAGTTTCTCCAGGTGTCTCTTTTTATTTATTGTTTCTTGGGTAACATTAGCAAAAGTAAGAAAAGACATTGTTGAAGATAGTAATTAATCTGGAATAAACTAGCCAAAAGGATAACAAAGCAAACACTATGTAGAACTTCAGGGGATGTGGGCTTTGCAGGCTGGACCAGCATTTATTTCCCATCCCTGGGTGCCCTTGAGAAGGTCAGGGTGAGCTACCTTTCAGCAAAACTTTATTAAAACCTTTAATTAGAATCTCACTAAAAAGAATATTTCATATAGGAGGACAGCACTAACACTACGAGTGAATGACAATGATTCAAATTGCAATTGTGTTATTACAGAACGCGGATGGTAAAATTCAAATCAGCATTAGTATCTTAAAATGAACAACAGAAAGACAAACCCAGGAGATGTTGAGGTAGTTGAAGAAAGTTTTGAGGGTGGCAATAAAGCTCTTTTGGGCGATAAGGGGGCTTCACACTCTGTCATTTTCTCTACATAGTTCACCGGGAACCAACCGGATTTGCCTCGCATCGTACCATACAGCCAGCCTGATTCCCCTTCAGTTGTTTCATCAACCTGAATATTACAGAATAATATTAGAACATTCCAGAGTACAGTCTGCTGAGCAAAAAAAAGCTGTCCTTGCATTTCAATCCCCAGATGTCATCATGTCAACTACTATTACTAACTAAAAGAATATATATATTATACGTATAAAACTACACTGTACACATTTTCAGATATTTTAACGGAACAGGGATGGGTAGGGGAAGGAAAAGTTTCTGACTGAAATGTGCATCCTTCCATAACTTCTTTTCCTCATCCACATAGACTATAATGTGAGACAAGGTCTCTGCAGACATAATTGATGCTAAGAGTATTATAGATGGTTTCAAAACCTAGTCTAAAAAAACTGAAATTGAAAAATTTCAATATTGTGCTGCAGTCCCCTTGGTCAATATTTGACAACAGGACTGAACATAGTGCTACGCTGTTGTTGAGACTTTTCTGGGTCACACATGAAAAAGGGTAAGACACCAAAGATTGATATTCGTCAAACCATGCATCAGCAAGGTTTAAACGACTGAGCAGAGGGGGATAATTGGTTCAAAAGAGGGGCAATTGTTGAGAGAAATATCACATACCACCACAATACAAAATCTTATTTCCACTGATTTAACATCACAAAACAACAACAACAACAAAAAAAAAAAAAAAAAAATGGATTTTCATGGGCTACAAAACACTAAAATATAATTTTTGGCTAACTCATAAGAAATACAATAGGCTGGTGTGACAGGCTGAAACAGCTTGGAAATTATTTAACCAGTTGATATTGAAGACAGAATTTTTGGAGATCCTTATCTATCTGGCCATAACACTTGGGTTTTCACTTATGCAACGGTTAGACGCAGTAACACAAAATAAAAGAAACAACTGAATAACTAGTCTGACTGGGAAAAAAATACCTACCTCAATTAGATCTCCAGCTTGAAAGCTGAGTTCATCATAATTTCTTGCCTCAAATGGATATAACGCTCGATACGTCATTAAGATTGCCGACTTTCCAGGCAGAGAGACTTCACTTTTGTCAAGTGACGCTGTAGAAAATGCATATACAAAACGAAAATTCCTAATTATTTCTTGTTTGCTTAGCAGGCACGTTTTAAATGATAACATTGGTCAAATTCTCATTTTGGTGATAACATCAAGAAATAAAATCTAGTCTTTTTTCTAAGAACTATGTGGCAAGCATTGTAACTAAGGGTTTAGGAAGTTGATAGCTGGGTAGCAATGTAATGAAACAGGATTGTGTGGTTTGTGCAATGCTATTGAAATACTCTGCATAGTTGCATGATGTGATAACATAGAGGCTCAGCCTCTCAGATTGTGGCATTCCCCTCTATTAAGAAAAAAAAAAATCAGAAATAAACATAGGAAAATCAAGCTTGAGGAAAGCAGCCAGAAAAACTACAAAAAAAGGACTTCCTAAAGATAACCGAAAATGATGACTATGCATGGTCAACAATGTTTACTGATAATAGCAAGGAAAAGTGATTCAAGTAAAATAAATGAATTTATTTAAAGTTTTTGCTCACATTTTTAAATTGTCTATTCTACTAAACCCTGACTGGAGTGAGACATTTAATGTAATACATATAAATAAGTTATTAGATCATTTATAGGAAAATTACAAGATTGTAATATCTGTAAAAACAATCTAATTGAAGATGTTGTTGCTCTGCGAGATCAGAATATTGAGCTCAAGAAAGTTCTTAGTTCCATAACTAAAGCTGAAAAGACTCAGGGCAGCAGATTAGTATCTGGAATCCACTAAGTTATACATGTTCATGACCAACAAAATGCCAGCTCATGTTCAAAGGCAAAATACTGTAGGTGCTGGACACCTAAAATAGTATTCTGAAAATACTCAGCTTGACTGGCTGTATCTGTGGAGATTAAACAGAGGTTTCAAGCTGCTAACCTTTTCTTGTCAGAATTATTTTTGATCTGAAAGGTTAAGTCTATTTCTCTTTCCAGAAATGCTACCAAACCAGAGCATGTTCAACTTTTTCTGTTTGTATAGTAGATCTTGTTTGTCCATTCTGTTAGTCTAATGCAAAATTACTGAAGAAAAGCCTTCAGTTAAACCAAAATTAGGACAGTGAATCTAAATAATGTGCCTTTCTATAAACTTTTCCAAAAAAATAAACTCAATAATCTCCAATGGATAAATTTTTCTGATAACATGTCCCCCTGAATTGTAAAGAAAATTATGGAGAAAACAGCAAAGCCTCCTTAAATATTCCAACGATTGCAGAATTGCCATATTAGTTTATTTAAGGGATAGAGGGATAAATCAGGTGAACAAAAATAGTCTAAAATTAGTTTTGTGCAAAATTATAAAATCCATTATGTGAGATAAAAATTAGTGAAAATTTAGAAAGGAAGTCAGCACTGATTTGTGAAACACAAGTTGCCTTTGACAAACTGCAACTTTTTGAAGACTTGACTGAATGAAAGAATGTGTACACAACACTTTAGAAGATACGTGATAAGGTATCTTATTTAAAAAATTGGCTTATTATGAAAATGCAGGCATGTAGTATGTGAAAATATAACATGTAGATATAAAGCTGGTAGCTGGATAGGATGCAAACTGTTAGATTTCATTAGTGTCACTGAGGTTACAATTAGTGTATACCAGGGGTCTGGGGTCTCAAACACTACCGCTCTCACTACTTTCCATCTAAATAAAGAGCACAATGTTGATAATTTGTTCATGCAAAATGCATGTTTGAAAAACAGTTAGAAAGTTAGAAATAGTTAGAAAGCAACTTCCATGTCTTCAGGACATGCAAAACACTTCAGAGCCAATGAAACAAGTCTTTCTTGTAAGTGTAGTCACAATGGTGATGTAGAAAACATAACAGTTTGCGTACAGCAAGGCTCTACAAATAGCAACAATGAAATAATCTGTACTCCTTTCTAAGTGATGTTAGATATTGGCCAGGACACTTGAAAAATTGCTCTGCTCTCTTCTGAATAGTGCCCAGATGTTATAAATCTGGCCAGGAGGGAAAACCTGGCCTCTCTCAGCACTGCACTGAAAAGTCACACTAAATTAAATGCTCATGTCTCTGGAATGGAACCTGAACTCATAACCTTCAGACTCAGAAGGTAGTACATCAGACTATTCTGGTGAAAACCCATATACCTTCTTTCCTTGATCCATATGTTGGTTTATCAGGGTATTTCAGGACATCCTTCAACTTTTCTTGTACATCAGTCTTCGAGACACGTTTCTCAGCTTCATCTTGTTTTATTGTTTCCTGTCTTCTCCTTTCTTCTTCTTGCTGGCGTTTTTCCTCTGCTTTTCTTAGAGTCTGAGCTTTCCTCTGCTCTTCTTCAGCTTCTTTTTGAAGCTGTGCAAGTCTCTTTTTCTCCTCTGCTTCACGACGATGCTTCTCCTCAGTTAGCCTTTTACTTTCTGCTTCTATTTCCCTTTGCCTAGCAGCAAATGCCTCAGTTTTCCGATTTTCTTCCTCACGGATTTTGTCTTGAAGTCGCTCTTCCTCCAGCTTCTGCTGCCTTATTTCCTCTTCTCTTTTGATTTTTGATTTCCACAGATTCTCTTTTTCTTGCTTTGCTTTTCTAAACAAAAGATAAAGGCAAACTTATTACAACTTAAAACTGCAAAGTTGTTTCAGATGATAGCCAAACAGTCAAAAACTAGACTGTGGCCTGCATGGTCACATTTCCCAACCACAAAAAAAAAGATTGCACTCTAAGTGGCAAATTTGGAGTCTTCAAGTATATGACATGGTAATTACAAGCTAACATAAGTAGGGTCTCAATAATATGGCACTTTCCATGAACCATGACATTTCTTTTTGGACCTATTGTAACTTTCACCTAGGACATTCAGCAGAATTAGAATGAAATACTGTCGTCATTTCTCCTGGGGACGGATGGAGTAAATTCATATTGGACTTCTTCAAGCTCAGTTTCCGATGAGTCAATCATAAGGTCGCATCATTTGTAGTTAAGGTCTTAGCTGGAGAGACAAGTGGCCAAGAGAGGTAAAGAACTACAAGAAGCCACCTTCAGGGAAACGCCAGCATCTGTCAAAACATCTTGCAGCAATTTCCAGCAGTTTTATCTATATTTATTTCACTTTTGTCCTACTCGTGATCCTTTTAGGTCTCCCAACTTTAAAAAAAGGACATATATGTTTCAGTGGATGCAAATACTTAAAAAAAAAATTCCACTGCATCATGTTTTTAAAAAACTGCAGCATCCCTTTAGAATTCAAGAACTTTCAGCTATAGTCGTGGAAAACCATTCAATTGTTAAGCAATAAAATAATTCACAAAATCACCTTATTGCTTCCTCCTCCTCCCTTTTTTTCCTTGCTTGATCTTCAGCTTTCTTTTTTTCAATTGCTTGAATTTTATCATCCTTGATTCGATAGAGCTGCTCCAGGGCAAACTGCTGTTTGCTGTAGCTTTCTCGCAGCTCCTGTTGGATGATGTAGAGCAACTTAGCGGATGCTGAAGATGCTTAGTTTTTGAAACTGTTATTAACATAAATTAGTCCTAACAGTGCAAATGGCACATGCATCTTACAACTACCACTGAGATGGAAATGCTGAACGTGCACAGGCTAAGACCCTGCACCACTGCAGCCAACACTTGCTGTACACAGACTCAATTTTAAAAATAATAGAAACATTTCTCAATTTTCTACATTATCTGTACAAATGTAGTTATTCAGTTAACCAATTGGAAAAGTGTAATGTATTATTACTAAAGGAAACAATTTAATTAAACTGCACAGAAAATGGTACAGATCTCAAGAGCATGAGAAGGAGGAAGGCGTACTTTTAGATTTAGTATTTTCTAGTCAATATTTGCTTCCATTGATAAGGGGATAGGACATCTGGAGATAAGGATTAAAATAAGGATAAGTAGTTATATTATTGGACTAGTGGTGTAGAAGCCTGGATCAATAATCCAACAGAATTCAGTTCGTGATCAAAAAACATGCATTGAAAATGAGCTGACTTTAAAGTCTAAGTCAGTTAAAAGGACCTTGAAATTACGGGATTGTCATTAAAACTTAACTTGCACATGAATGTACTTTCGAAAAGCCTACACATATGACTCAAGCCCTATACTACTGTGGTTGATGTTTTAGTTGCTAATTCAGGGCAACTAGAGATGGTAATAAATGCCAGGTTTGCCAGCAATGACCATTTCCCTGAAATGAAAAATAAATCAGTTGAACATTTCCAAGGAAGCTATGCTGACAATGCATGTGCATTCTGATCAACCCCTCCTACTTTCCATTATATTCAAATTTATTTCAAATTACATTCACTTTGGGTATTTGATTTTAAATTTTTGAATACAGTACTTTGCAAGAGTTCTTTTTTTATGTTGAAGATGCATTTTTGTGTCAAGAAGTTACAACGGTCCAAATAAACTTCATTAAACTTTGTCAGCAATTGACATTAACTGTTGTGTTATATTATAAATTTATTGCAAATGGAGCCTGCACCATGTTCAGTTTTAATATATTTGTGAAAACTCAATCATCATATTGAGACTGTGTGGCTCTAGTTTCATTATAGACATGGAATGCAACATAGCATACAAGTTCCAATTCTCAATGTTGAAGACTGAATATTAAAGTACCTATCAGCTACCCATAAAAAGATAGTTTCACCACAATACTTGCTAGGTGCATGGATGCTTTTGATATCATTTAATACTCTAAGTGCAATTGTAATGGAGCAAGTTAAAGTTGTTGATTAAACTTTGTTACCACGACTTCAATTTGGAAAGAAATTATCACCATTCTTTATCAGACATCAAACCATCACAATAAACCTCTTAAAGGATGGACATATCAATTCTATATCAAAACAACACTCCTTCCTCTCCAGGGAAATAATGTGCATTTTCACATAAGACGAGTGAAGTTCCACAGAGCATAATTTGCTAATGACACACACTAGAAGTTGTAAATGTAGATCATTTATAGTCTTTATGTTATCCTTCCAGATTGTTTTTCCTCAGTAGGTTGAACTGTACTTTCAGTTCAAAACACAACCAGATATTTAGGATCAGTAATCTTAGAATTACCTACGTTTTGCAGTTATGAAGATGAGGTTGTTGGTCAAACAGCTAAAATTCATTTATTCACTCATGAATCTTCTCATCTATTTCCTTTTACTCAAATTCACAAAAACAAGAACCTCAAAATCACAGGGCCTACCAATATCACACACTCCCCAGATCTGGTAAGGTCATGGTTAAATATATATTAAAAGAAATCATCATTTAAAAGGGCAGAATTCTAGGAAATTGGTTCAAGACGAAAAATTCTAATGCTATACACATTTTGTTTTAGTTTCAAAAAAAAAAAAAAAAAAAATTGCCTTAAATGATTCCTGTACTAATGTCAAATCATGGAAAACAATCCACAATATGAAAGTTGCAAACAACTTGTAGTGATTGAAAATATAATTTATTTCTACACCAAAGTACCAAATGTAGAGTCTGGGAAAGTGGTGTATTATCAGTTGCTATTTTAAGGTTAGATTATGGGGTTGTAAATGCATTATTGCTTTTAATTTTGGCCTTATTAATCTTTGAGCTCAGTAGGTTTCTGTCCTGGTTCAAAATTTTCAAAGCCTAACTGAACAGCACAATTATTTTTTTTCTGGTGCAGTTTACCCAGCTTATTGCATTTTAACGTTCTAAAGCCGTGTGCCAACAGCAAGTGATGGGAGAATGTTCAATGACCATCTTCTAATGGATAAACACTTTATTCAGCATGAAACTACTTCATACTTCACATTGTCATAGCAAACAATACAATGCAAGTCTCCACTGAAAAACAATGTTGGCCCCAATTTTCCCTCTGACATCTCGCTGCAAAAACACTAGCCTAATCGCCGTTAAGCAGTTTTACAAATCAGCAAGATTTGAATTGACTATGTTCAAGTATTAATTCACATTCTACAAGGGGGAAAACATTTGAGGGGCTCCAGGGTAGTTCACAACAGGACAGGACCCCAATCTTCTTCCATTTTTATTCAATGACTTTTGCCAATAGGAAGTTAACACTGCAGAAGGAGCAGGATAACTAAAATTAAGATTTGCTTTTTTATTTCATGAGCTTATGAATAAAAACAACCTGAAGTGAAAAGAAAACAAGCTGAAATATCATCATCTTATGTAGTCAAGGAATTCTTTCTCTAATTTTCTCCTTGATTCAACTTTTAAAGCAGTGACAGTATATCATGAAGAACTCCTCTGCCAACAACTGAGTGCTCCTCTCACCACTTCCCCAACCAACCCATCCGAGGATCTCCAACACATGGCACATTATTAGAGTCAAATGGGAGGAAGATAAAGGGGGTAGAAGTAGATAAATCACCTCATCTACTCTCACATACTCCTTTGAAAATCTTTGCAATATTTTACAGGTTGGAATCTGGGAGCAAGTTTTTCCCAACTCATCATGCTGGATGCGCTGGGAAGGGTGAATGGGAAAGGGCCCAGGGATCATTTTCAGAATTGGCTCAATAAAATATGGCAGTCTTTATTTCATTACTTGCTAGCAATTTTGTCACTTTGGATTGTACTGCACTTGAACAAAACTTGCTGTCACAGAAGGAAAAATTGAAGCCAATGTGTAAATAATTCAATACAAGCAGAACAGCAAAAAAAAATCTGAGATTAATAGGGTTATTAAATGGCAAAATAAAGATGGAAAGCATTAGTAAATCTGGCACTGAAAACAATAGCAGTCAACAGTGAAGTATGACTAAATAAAGCGCATTGTACGCAATGATGGACAACCAATGTTTACTGAAATTGCCAAGTATGGATTCTGTTTTACTGCTTACTGTCATTTTGTTAATATACCACAGGCACTGCAACGATAAACAGGAAACAGTACAGAGAAAACTCCTGCATTCAAGAGATACTGGAGATTGCTGAATAGTACTTACAGTTTTCATCTCAATTACAAGTGACTGATGCAGCATCATCACGATTGGTACATCCTATTCACATACTTACAAAGACCTCACCACACGATGACAATAAAGGCACAAAGTTAACATTGGAGACATGTATGATGCTGATTGGTACAACCACTTTTAGAATTCACAAACTGATCTGTTTTGCGTTAGTTTGTTCCTGACTGTGCGGTGTATTTTTTAACTAAATGTCAGGTGTCAGTGGATTGAAGAGCCATTTACCAATTTAGTGTTGACATTTGGGTAATTTTGTGTTATTCTACTACATAAACTAGGAACTGATGTGAGACAGCACCTGACTAGGGTTTTTTTTGTATAAAATTATACACATAGATGAGGTTTTTTTAAAAACATTGCTAAAGAGATTTTATTTAAATCACGGAGAATTTCTTTTTAAACAGAGTTGTATTTATGGAGCTTTTGGAGAGCATACACATGGATGGGGCTGCAGTAAGGTTATTTTTATATCAGGAGATTGAAAGCTGTCTGCTGGACTATTTGAGCTACTTTTTAATTCGATTGTTCAGCTAAGTGGCTGATTTTATTTAAGATTTATACTTTTTTCGCATGCTTAATATTAACTCTTAGGGTAAAGAAAAGTAGCTTATTTTTTATATAAAATGCTATTATAAGCTGCTTCTTTTTAAGATTAATGACATTGAGGGAATACAAGAGACACTGAGATGGATGGCTAGTAGATTTAGAGAAGTGATTACACAGCAGCATCAGTCAAATAGACGGATGACTCTCAGAAAAGGTGAGAAGGTAGTTCAGAAGTCTCCTGTAGCTATTCCTCTCTCAAACAGTTACTCAGTTTGGGGTACTATTGAAAAGGATAGTCTCTCAGTGGAAAATAGAAGACACAGTCAGATCTTGGGCACTAAAAATGAATCTTCTGTTAGGCAGGGTTTGACAAAATTTACAAGAAATTGTTATACGGGTCTGTCCTGTTGAGGGCACAGACAGGAGATTCTGCAGCGGCGAGCATGAATCTAGGATAGTCTGTTGCTTTTCTGGTGCCAGGATTAAGGATGTATCAAAATGTTTAAAGCATATTGTTAAAGGGGAGTGTGGGAAACCAGAAGTTATTGTACACATTGGAAGGAATGACATAGTCAGGGAAAAGATTAAGGTTTTACGGAGTGAACATAAGAGGTTAGGTAGAAGATTAAAAAACAGAACCTCAAAAGGTAGTAATCTCTGGTTTACTCCCAGTACCAAGCTCGAATGAGGGAAAGAATAGAGGCGATTAATCAATGGCTGAAGAGGTGGTGTAAAGTTCAGGGCTTCAGGTTCTTGGATCATTGGCATCTCTCTTGGGGCAGAAAACACCTGTTCAAAAAGGATGGGTTTCACTTGTACTGGAAAAGGACCAATATCCTATCAGGGAAATTTGCTAATTCTATTAAGGGAAACTGTAAACAATTAGAGGGGGAGGTGGAGGGATCCTAAGTAGCAGAATAAA